TCTGAACCCAACATGGGCTCCCCAGGCCAGCACACCCTCATCAGGGAAAGGAGTCCCCATAATATTTATAATAATAAAAGCATAATGTGTTAATTAGACCGGATGTCCTTTCCCTTCCAGACGAAGCTGGGGCTGCGAGGGAAGCCCGGGTCCCAGGTGCCAGAGGGAAGCCAGTGCTGGCAGCCAAGGGAAGGAAGGCCTACTCTTGCATGAATTTCATACATGGGGCCTCTAGTCTAGTTATAAAAAACAGTGGAACTTACATTTGGGAGACCTGAAGAGCTGCAGGAAACCGAGACTCGTCTCTTAAAGTGCTCAAGCACAGCTCAGCCAATGTTGCTGAGTGGTTGAGTGTTGACCCATGAACCAGGAGGTCAGGGTTCAATTCCCAGTCTGGGCGCATGCCCAGGGTTGCAGGCTCAATCCCCAATAGGGGGAGTGCAGGAGGCAGCCAGTCAATGATTTTCTCTCATCATTGATGTTTCTCTCTCTCCCTCTCCCTTCCTCTCTCTGAAATCAATAAAAATAAACTTTTGAGGTTTTTTAAATATATTTTTTATTGATTTCAGAGAGGAAGGCAGAGGGGAGAAAGAGATAGAAACATCAATGATGAAAGAGAATCATTGATTGGCTGCCTCCTGCACATGCCCCACTGGGGATCGAGTGTGCAACCCAGGCATGTGCCCTTGATTGGAATTGAACCCAGGACCCTTCAGTCCACTGGCCAATGCTTTAGACACTGAGCCAAACCAGCTAGTGCTAAAATATAGTTTTGAAAAAGAACTCATGCACAAAATCCCTCACAATGACTCCCAGCACAGAGGTGCACCAGTCTGAAAATCGCCTGGGTCATATGTGAAGGAGATACATTGACCAATCTTAAGACAAGAGGTGGAAGAGCCGGTATCTGTTGGAACTTTCTATAGGGATGGAATTACTTGCAGGTACCATTTTTAAAATTTTCCTCCCACCTAGTTGAGAGGTGCCATTTTTGACATTCTCAATTAACCTTGTTAACACTGTTTACCCTACACTGGTGTCTTGGAGTTCTTGCCCACCCAACTTGCCTACTCCAACTTGCACCCTTTCAAAGTGGTTCCCACTCTATCACAAAAAAGCAGGCACCCTCAGCCTATACCAAAACCCACCCAAAATATCTCCAGCCCTACACCCAGCATGCAGATTCAGCAGGCACTGGTATCCCTCAAAAATGACTCTCACCCTGTCACAATTGAGGGGATGGGCTCAGATAGCATCAGAGCCCTTCAAGCAGGTCCTGCACCACCACACCAAGCAGGCAACCTCAGATGGTATCAGTACCCATCTAAAGTGGTTCCCAATTCAGGAGCAAACCCCCACACACCAGTGCATTCTCAGCAGCCAAGGCCAAGCAGTAATGAAGGCCTATTGCTCACATAAGTGTGCCAGAAGCCATTGTGGTAAAACCCACCAGAGTTATGACCTACACACAAGTGTTCCCGCAGCAACCACAGCCAGACCTCACAGGCAGCCAGGGTGGGAGATAGCCCCATCATCCATCAGAACACAGGCAGCAGTTGTGGCTGAGCCTTATAGACAATCAGGCCAGAGGCTAACCCCATTCAACAGTGTACCCACAGCAGTCATAACCAGGCCTCACAGACAGCTAGGCCAGGGACCTGCCCTGCACACTTGAATATTGACAAGTATTGAGGCTGAACCTCACAGCCAGTTGACTTGGGGCCAAATCCTTCCCACCAGCATGTCCCAGAAATCGCATCAGATTATAATAGGTGAGTGGACACAACCCATACAAGGGAAACCCCAGAGCACATGGCTCTGGAGACCAGGGGAGATTGTGCCACTGGGTACCACAGGACATCTTCTATATAAGGCTACTCCTTCAAGAATAGAAAATATAATTTATCTACCTAATACACAGAAACAAATGGAGTAGGCAAAATGAAGAGATAAAGGAATATGTTCCAAATAAAAGTTCATGACAAAAACATAAGAAAAATAACTAAACAAAACTGAGATATTCAATCTACCAGATAAAGAGTTCAAAGTCATGATTATAAAGGTGTTCACCAAATTCAACAAGGAAGAATACAGTAAGAACTTCAACAAAAAGATAAGAAATATAGAAAAGGATTAAATGAGACTGAAGAATACAACAACTGAGATGAAAATTACACCACTGTGAATCAACAGCAGATTAGATGATGCAAAAAGAATATTCAGTGATCTAGAAGGCAGAGTACAGCAGTGGAAATGGCCCAATCAGAACAGCAAACAGAAAAAAAAGAATTTTAAAAAGTGGGTTAGTTTAAGACACGTCTGGGACATCAACTGCACTAACATTCATATTATAGGGATCCCAGAAGGAAGAGAGAAAGGGACAGAAAACCTATTTGAAGAAATAAAAGCTGCCCTGCCTGGTGTGGCTCAGTTAATTGAGCATTATTCCATGTACCAAGAGATCACCAGTTCGATTCCCGGTCAGGACACATGCCTGGGTTGCGGGCTAGATCCCCAGTAGGGTGCATGCAGGGGGCAGCTGATCGATGTTTCTCTTTTATCAATGTTTCTCTCTCCCACTCCCTTCCTCATTCTCTGAAATCAATAAAAACATATTTAGAGAAAAAAAGAAATAAAAGCTGAAAACTTCCTTAACCTGTGAAAGAGACATCCAAGTTGAGGAAGCATGAAATTCCCACACAAAATGAACCAAAAAAGACCCACACTAAAACACATCATAATTTAAATGTCAAAAGTTAAAAATATTCCAAGTGTCCATAAGTAGGTGAGAGGATAAAAAAATCTGTGGTACATTTACACAATGGAATATTACACAGCCATAAAAAAGAAGGAAATCTTATCCTTTGTGACAGCATGGATGGGCCTGGAGAGTATTATGCTAAGTGAAATAAGCCAGTCAGAGAAAGGCAAATACCATATGATCTCACTTATATGTGGAATCTAATGAACAAAATTAAGTAACAAACAAAGTAGAAACAGTCTCATAGATACAAAGAACAGACTGACACCTGTCACATGTAATAGGTGTTATAGGGCTGGGTGAAAAAGGTGAAGGGATTAAGAGAAAACAACAACAGTACAGTAAAACATTGTTATAATGGATTAATTTGGGGGGTGTCAGTTGAAGCTGAAAGTCTGTTATATGAAGTAGGTTTTCCGAATGTATATGTTAAAAACTTGACAAATTAGTTTACCTGTTTTTACTTATGTAGACACATTTGTATAATTAAGTGTATGTACAAAAACTTTAATTTCACAGAAAAGTTTTCTAGTTGTATTACTGTAATTTTAAATTTATACTGAATAGGTATAGTAAATGCATGCATTCATCAGTCACCCGAATAAACAAATGCACAAGGCTGGGGCATGGCTTAGTGCACATGGGAACATCGTAGGCATGCAACAACAGAACCAGTTACCTCAAGATGTGGTATGATCACATGCTAAGCATTCCCCAAACACTGTTTATGAGCAGTGACTTGGATTTAAATATGTAGACTATAGTTGTAGATATGAAGTAGTTATTTATGTCAGAGAAATTACTACAGTTTTTTGTCTCTAACATATTGCTTATTCACTAAAATTAGTCAAACATAACTGAATTAATAACAAAGAATTACTTGTTAATTTAATTATAAGCAAATCTTATTCAAAAGCATTTTAAAATTAACAGGCTGTTAATTTTTACATAGGGCATATGGACCAGAAATTTTGCCTGTTAAATCCAAAGTCCATTAAATTGAGGTCCTCAAAATCAAAGGTTTACTATGTGGTGATTACCAGAGGGGAAGGGTGTGGGGGAGGTAGTAGAGGGTAGGGGAGATAAATAGTAATGGAAGGAGACTTGACTTGGGGTGGTGAACACATCATACAACACACAGATGATGTATTATAGAACTGTACCCCAGAAACCTCTATAATTTTTTAACCAATGTCACTCCAATAAATTCAATAAAAAAGTTTGTTAAAAAGTTTTATAGAGAGGATCTTTTAAAAAGCAAGAGAAAAAACAACCAGTAACGTACAAAGTAGCTCCTATAAGAGTAAAAATTGATTTTTCAGCAGAAACTTTGCAGGCCACAGAGGATAGCACAATATATTCTAAGTGATGAAAGGGGGGGAAAACTTCCATCCAAGGCTACTGTATCTGGCAAGGCTACCATTCAGAATTGATGGAGAGACAGAGTTTCTCAGGTAAGCAAAAGGTAGAAGCATTCTGCAACACTAAACTGACATTATAAGAGATGTTAAAGGGAATTCTTTAAGCACACAAAAAAAAGGCCAAAACTATAAATGAGAAAATTCATAAAAGAGAAAATCACCACTGGTAAAGGCCAAAATACATTAAAGGTAGTTAATTAATGACTTATAAAGCTAATATAAAGAGTAAAAGACAAAAGTAATAAAAATTACCTATATCTACAATAATTACTTAAAAGATACACAAAAAGATGAAAAATATGACATAAAAAAACATAAAACATGGTACAGGAGTAAAAAAAATGTGATACTTTCAGAATGTGGTCAGACCTAAGAAACAATCAACTTAAAATAAACTGCTATATACTTAGGTTTTTATATATGAATCTCATGGTAACCACAAACCAAAAACTTAAAATAGATACACACACACACACACACACACACACACACACACACACAAAGAGAGTGGAATCCAAACACAATATACCTTTTAAGCCTGGTCGGAGTAGTTCTAGTGTAGAGGTTGAGGAAGAAGCCAAATTGCAAAGGGTTTGAGGAGTAAATAAAATATGAGGAAGGAGAGATGCCAGTCATTTCTTCCAAGGCAAGATTGTCTCTGACCCAAGGTAGACAAATATGTGTACATTTTACCTTTGGAAATATCTACTTTTTTTTTTTAATTCTACAACCTTATTTAGTAATGTCTCCTTTTTCTGAGTCACACTTCCTAATACATAAACAACAACAAATAAGAATTATGAAATTAAAATTGTTACCAAAAAAGGCATTTAGCAGCTTCTGAACTTGAATATTGCTGCCCACGGTTCGGTACAATCCCTCTGTCTTGATCCCTAGGGAAAGAAAATCAGGTCAGGTTTGTTTATACAGCTAGAGTTTTCATTTACCTCAGGGTAAAAAAAGTAGGGACTTATACACTGGAGTCAGTTCAAACATAAAAGGGTTACCCTATTCTCTCCAAGCTCTCCAGCCCTCCCCTGCAATAGGGGAACAGTCCTGAAGCATCTCTCCAAATTATTGTCTTCATACTTTCATTTGGATTGTACCAAGCCCTCATTAATCTGAACTGAAGTGAACACACTGTATAGTAAAGAGAATAATATGCTTAGGTGGGTAGCAGCAGAAGACTGAGAATGATGCTACCATCTTGGAAAGGAGCTAGGATCTAATTTAAAAAAAAAACACAAAAAAACAAAAAAACAATATCAACCTTCAAGATATTCCTGAGCAGTGATAGAAAGGAAGAGAGGATTGGAGTATGGCAGATGAAAAATAAAAGGCCATTTTGTGCATGGAGAGGACTGAAGCAACATTTCAAAGAAAAAAATAGACTGCTCATACAGTACACTGGCCCATCTATAATAATAAAAGCATAATATACGAATCGACCAAATGACTGAACAGCAGAACGACCATCCGGACGACCTTCTGGACGACACCGCTATGACACCCACTGGCGCCAGGACAACCAAGGTGGATGCAATGGGATTGGTCAGGGGCCGGGCCATCGCCCCATGATTGCCCTGCAGAGGGAGGTCCAGGCCACAGGCCGGCAGGGCTATCGATCATTCAGGGGGCTCCATGATCGCCCCAAAGAGGGAGTCTCAAGCCACTGACCTGCAGGCTTCGGCAGGTGGGTGGGGCCTCCCTCTGTGGGGGTGCAATTAATTGCAGGATTGCCCTGCAGAGGGAGGCTCAGGCCACCAGCCAGTGGGGTGATCAATCAATCAGGAGGCTTCACAATGGCCCCAGAGAGGGAGGCCCAGGCCACTGATTAGCAAGCTGTGGCTAGTGGGCGGAGCTCCCTCTGCGGAGGCACGATCAATCACATGATTGCCCTGCAGAGGGAGGTCCAGGCCACTGGCTGATGAGGTGATCAATTGGGGGGGTCCATGATTGCCCCAAAGAGGGAAGCCCAGGCCACTGACTGGTGGGCTGTGGTGGGTGGACGGGGCCTCCCTTTGTGGGCTGCAAGTGATGGTCCCAAAGAAGGAGGCCCAGGCTACCTCACATTGGTGCTGGGGTGGGTGGGCGGGGACTCCCTCTATGCGGGTGATCCATCACGAAGCCCTGGGCAGGTGAGCAGGGCCTACCTCTTTGGGGCGATGGATTGCAGGGCTCCTGGACTCTGAGAGGGCACAGGCTGGGCTGAGGGACAACCCCCCCCACCCCCGCCCCAGTGCATGAATTTCATGCACCAGGCCTCTAGTTTCAAAATATTATCAGAGAGAAACTTGAGAATATCATCAACCTGGAAAAACGTTTATTCCACATTTGTCTGAATTTGGTTTTGCATCCATCAATTTCTAAACCAATATCTATTCTGGCACAAATTGAACTCTTATTTATTTAGGACTATCATCACAATGCTACTTGAGGAGTGCCAGGTGGTATTTAGGAATACTTTTAAAAAGCCATTTAAAGTTCTTTCTCTTAAAAAAGCCAGAAGCCACAAATTCTCCAAATATGCTTGTGTACCACTGGTTTGGAAATCACCGAAATTATACAAATTGTGTCTAGTGTTCAGTGTTTATAAACAGTGTTTATTCCAGAAATGGGTCCTGAACAATTGATTACATTATTGCTACTTTTGAGAAATTGCCCCAGGATAAATTCACATTGGCTATATTCAAACACTGCCAAGCCTATGGTTCATTACCTTACCTTTTGTCTCAATGACATTGATGCACTTTCTAACAAACTTGAAGCCCACTTCATTCAGCTCCACTGTTTCAAGCAAAGGAAAACAGAGTTAGATGTTGATGTACACAAGCTTCACCTACCAAGCATTCAGTTATCATGCTAAGAGACTGCAGAGAGAGAACTAGGGGTTTGGTTGGTCATATCAAATCACCCTTTACTGGAAAGGTCCTTTGCATGGGTGGGGGGTTAGAGGTTTTACTCTTTATAACACAAAATGCTTTTACTTAGCCCTCTGCATTATGTCTGCTTTAGGCATGAACAACAACAAATGTGAAATGTTATACTGGAAATGCACACAATTTCTATATGTGTCTAGAACAAGAAGGATATAATGTGTTTCTTTATATCACTACTGCTATTCCCACCATAAACTAAGATAAAGTGACTTCCTCAATGGACACTTTTTTTTTTTCAAAATAGGTATGAATATCATTCCACACAGTGGCATCCATAAACACACACACTTGCATCAATATTACATATCATTAGCGAAAGCATTTACTATGAATAAGACAGCTGGCAGTTTATAACATCAGTGGATCAGAAATTTGACTCACTTTCTTCCTGTTTTGTTATGGGGCTGTGGTAGATCTACAAAAGAAGAGAAACAGAAAGATCCATGGCTATTGTGAATCACTATAGGCAAATAAAATTAAATCAAAACCATTAACAACTCTAACAAGAAGGAAAAGTGGGCTAAACAGAAACATCTTTGTCTAGATCTTTAGGAAACAGCTGAAATAATCCCTGAAGATTACATTGGATTTCACACTGCTCACTGCAACTAAAGTTATGGCCCTCTTAGACATTTACTTAGGTAAAGCTTGGAGGGTTTTTCCAATGGAGCAAGAGAGCATAAGAGAAAGGAAGTGGATTTCTCATGCATACCTGGATAATGGGCATGTGATGGTAAAATGTAAACATTCCCAATACCAACCTCCCTGTCCCCCAAGACTGGTTAATAGGTGTTTCTCTTTGGAAAGACAAGTGTCCAACTGAAAGAGATCCATGAACTGACCAAGATTTTTCTGCATCATCTTGAAGTATACATTTTAATAGCTATGAAAAGACCAAAGTCTAGCCCTGGTTCTGTTTCTTCCTCATTATGAAATCTAGGACATGTCCTTTTTATTCTCTAGACTTCAAAATTCACATATCTAAAATTATCAGAATTGGAGATGTTCCTTCAAGCCTACCGGCCATATAGGGCCCACAAAATCATTTGGTCTGGCCCTGCCAAGACATTAGGGGTGAGATAATGAAATGTTTGGCCAAATATAACAGGCTAATTTTAAATTGACAATTTTGTATGGCCTGCAAATATATATATATATATATATATATATATATATATATATATATATATAGCCAGCAACTGGAAACCCGTA